CCCCCCCCCCCCCCCACAGATCAGAAGAAGAAGCATCTGTTCATCTTCTCTGTCCGGTGCGGGCGTTGACGTGTTACATAGCGCGCACAGCTGCAATGTGTCAAACTCAACAATTGTTTGTGCATTATAGAGATGCTTCTGCAGGTCGCCCGTTATCCATCCAGCGCTTGTCACACTGGCTGTGTGAGGCCATTTCTGAAGCCTACAGAGCATCAGATTTAGGGCCTCCTGTCAACCTCAAAGCACACTCAACCAGGGGTATCGCATCTTCGACTGCTCTGCATAATGGTATGTCAACGCAGGACATTTGCACTGCGGCTGCGTGGTCAACACCCTGCTCATTTATTCGCTTTTACCTACGTGATGTAACGGCTCGTTCCATGACACATTCTGTCCTTAGTGCTCTAACAGAATGAATATTGTTGTTTTTCATGGAACTCTGTTTAAGCTCACATCTGTCTGCATGCTTCACAGTGTGAGATGTTATCAGTCACAAGTTGTGTCTGTGATTTTGGTTCTATTGTCACTAATCAGTTTATGACTATTGTGACCAATCAGTTCATTTGATCAATAATCAGTTCATTGATATTTATCTGTTTATACTGTTCAGCCATGAACCAGTTGGTTCATGCCCCCCCCCCCCCTCCTTTCAACATCTTCTTCCCGTTGAAAGTTTTCCGGGGCGCTCATGTTTTGTCAGAACGCATAGTTACACAACATGCGTCTGTGCATGGCACATAATTACGCGATGCGTAGTTATGCACACGGGGAGCTGAGTGACAAGACGTTTTTTGGGCAAGCTTCTGCTTCTTACTGTGTTCGAATGGACCCAGTGAGGCGAGGACCACATCTGCTTCGCCCTTAACCCATCAGTGACAGCCTTAAAGGGCGAAGCCTATATGACATAGAACGTTGGTTACGTACTGTAACCCCAGATTCTATGAATATAGGCGTAGCCCTTTAAGCGTCGGGCCTCACTGGCTCCTAAATGGCTGAAGAAAAAAGCTATTTTGGGAGCCGATTTCCCGCTCTTAATGTAATTTATACGGACCGGGTGGGGCCCACACAGCAGGTGGGCGTGGACTAAATTTTTTCAGTGCTTATGCTCTGCATAACGGGATAAACCCATCAGCGACAGCCTTAAAGGGCTACGCCTATATTCATAGAATCTGGGGTTACAGTACGTAACCAACGTTTTAAATGCTTTTTATTAATTCTTCAATTATTATTATTAGTGTATTGTATTTTTTTCTCTTTAATTTTACTCTCATTGATTGTTGTTGTTGTTGTTGTTGTTGAGCACGTTGATAACAGGTTCTGTTTTAAATGTGCTCTATAAATAAAGTTGACTTGTTTCACCATTGTAAAATGTAAACTCATGACAGTCAGAGCACTCCCTCGTGGTGAACGTTCATAAAAGTAAAAAGTTATTCAGAGCTAGTGCTGTGCACATTAGCTCCTGAGCTAACATGATTACATTAGTCTTTAGAATCATTTCTCCATTCTCCTCTCTGTCAATGTAATAAATTAATTTAAGACTCAATCAAAATTTTACATCTGCTGATTCCCTAAGCCTTTTTAAATCCAATGTTTTAGGCTTCACCTATTTCTGCTCAAAAGTTGTGGTCAAAATGTGTTGGTTTTTAACTCTTGAATTCTCGGCTCCACCAACAGTACTTTCTTTACATCACTGTCATTTCTGAAGGTTACGGTATTTTTTTTTTCAATTAAGTTTGTAAATGTAATGTTTGAGCACAAGTTCAAAATGTATAAAAGCTTCAAACATTGTTTGCATCAAGGCGTCAAACCTGATCAGCATCAAACATCCATAACATCTAGAGTAGAACACAACAAAACGTTTTCAAGTCAAATTTTTAATAAGATACGTTTACTCACATTTTACTTGCTACAGTAGCTAGAATTGGTTATTGTCTCTTGTCACCGAGCAAACAGGGGAATTGTAAATACCCTGACATTGATAACTTGAAAAATAAGTGAGACACAAATGTCCTTTTTGGTTTGTGGCATCAGGTGTAAGAAAGAATCTGTTCACAAATTGGGTTGCCAAGTCAATATCCAAGATGGATGCCGCCATATAAAAGTAAATCTTGTGGGTTAGATAACTTCAAAAATAAACAATGTTTCGACTTGTATTTTTGATTCTTTCTTTTGGAGCTTGGGGAGACTAATTCTAACTTATAACCTGATGTGGTTTAGAGCTGATTGGTGACAGAGCCACCAGGGTTAGAGATCTGAGTCCTCACTGAGTCAGGACCCACAAATCTGAGGTCTAAAATAATCCACATCCTCCATGCTCTCTGGCAGGCTACAAACAAAAGTGCATGAGTTAGCGAACGCACCAAACAGTACAGTAGAATCATTTTAAATTGGAGCCCTGTCATAACTGCTTCCAGTTCTAGTTTATTATTGTTTTCTATTGTATTTAATTATAATGTATTTTGATATCTTTGTCTGGGAAAAGCGTTATATACGTGAAGTAACTTTACAACATGAGAACTGTTTTAGAATAAAGTTCTTTTATTTTGCTTGATTTTTCCTTTTAAAATTGAGAATATTTTCTTTGCAGGTACGTTTCAGACCATGGTCCAGGGGAGTATCGTTCACTGTGCCAACACAAACTCCTGACATCTCTGCAGATCCCAGCTCCCACTGCACGCATCTACCCACCCACCCAGCTGGAGTGGACCTGCAACGAGAGGAAGGGCACCATGCTGCTGGAAGTAAACACTTTTAATGGTGAGCTGGGCAACATCTGTTCTGAACCTGGCCTTAAACAGGTCCGATGTCTGGCATGAGAGGCAGCAGCTATACGCATTCCTTCAAGGAATGATAAACCTTTTATTTTTAAAATACTTTGTTTATTAAAACCCTAACCACATGTTTTATTGTATGCCAGATGAGACACTGACAGCTGAAGTAGAGTCATGGACCACAGGAGAGCAGCTGGCCTCCTGGGTTCTCCATCACAGGTAATAGTTCAGTCCTCAGCACTGACTTTACCTCTCCTTGTCCCCCGTTGTGGAGCCAAGAGGTGGAATAGGAAATACATTCTGTCTGCCTGTGCATGTTGTGAGAACTTGAGAAAATAGTGACTTCCATGTTGGTGTGTGGCTACATATAGGAATAGGAAAGGTTAATTCTGAAAATCAGGTTGCCGGGTCAAAATCCAAGATTGCCACCACCATATACACTGTATATGTTAACCTTGTGAGTTGGATAACTTGAAAAATAATCAACATGTCTACTTCTATGTTGGTGTGTGGCTGCATCTAGGTGTGAAAATGGTCACCATCAAAAATTGAGTTGCCACGTCAAAATCCAAGATGGCCACTGCCAAATATATGTAAATCCCTATAATTTGAGGAAACTATGCTTTCTAGTATTGCTTAAATGTATAGTTTCCTCAAATGATTGGGGTAGCTCTTGGGATGCTTGAAAATCACTCTATAGTGGCCAGGGCCACTGTTGGCCACCTCCTACCTTTTCCATTGCTCCTGGTTGCCTCCTCTCACCATGATCCGTCACTCTGCGCTATCGGACAAAACTAAGACTACCTCTGTTCCTTTCCACAATGTAACTCCTACCCACTGGAATATCTTGTACCAGTAACATTAAGGTTTATGTGCATTCCCAATTCAATTCCAGTCCAGAAAAACACTCATCTCAGAAACTACAAACATTTATTATTCAAATCCCTCAGCAATGGGGGACATCTGCTTGGTACATTTTAGTCTTCACCTTCTTTCTCCTTGCTTTCCCTCCTTCGTGTGCTGTGGCCACAGAGGCGTTACAGAAGCAGTGCAGGGCTGGTCGGTGGCTTTTGTGACTAATGAAGGCTGGTCAGAATTGTCTGGCTCAGACTTTGTCCTGGATCTGCTGGCTGGAGCAGAAGCTGAAGGACTGCCGCCACCAGGAACACCCTCTTCCACAAACTCTGACTACCTGTTTAGCAGGCCTCCAGAGAGGTAGAGCAGTGAAACAGTAAAGTCACCAGTCTGTTGAAAGGATTGGTTTCCTGTCAGCTCTGTGATTCTGTTTTCCCAGGATGCCTGTCACAGATCTGGATGACTTCATCCCACCTGCACCTTCCATGCAAGCTCCAGGGCTACCTTTTTCTGAAGGAAACCTCTGGGCAAGAGAGTATCCACAGGAAGGTAAGTGTTGGACATCATTATTCCTCAGTCAGCATCTCTATCATGATTATAAAACACCCATATTAACATGCAGTCCTGTCACAATGTAAGTGAAGCACATGAAAGCCTTTACCAGTTGAGAATAATTAGAAAGTTCTCTTATTTTTTCTTATCTTAGTGCATTCAGATCACTTTTGTCTGATAAAGTAGTATATTTGGGGAACACCCAGTTGAAGGCATCAAAAGTAAAACTGCTTTGCCAGTCATCAGGATTTATTTATAATGGATTTTTTATAAACATTACATCAAATCTCATTTATTGTGACATTTTTCTGGTAAACATTACAATTTTTAAATTAATTCAATTCACTATATTCCTGTAGCGCCAAGTCACAATAAAAGAGATCTTAGAGCAGGATGTGTAAAAATAATTTAAATACAGGTACATATCACCCAATTTATTCCAATTACAACCACATTATAATTAGAAATAAGTTGTCTATTAAAAATAATCTAGTCGATTGAATCTTCACTTCAATATAATGCCCCCTGGTGTGTAATAAGTCCCTTATCTCATGAAGACACGGTGAGCAGAACCAAAGCCAGGCTCAGGGTGAACATCTGCCTCAACTGGCTAAAGAAAGTGATCAGGAATGAATAAAGTTTAAAAAGTTCTGACATGGGGATTTAAAAGTCTCCTTGAAATGATCACAGCCTAACTATAACCACATCTAATTGCATACATACCTTGCAGCATTTCTACATTTGTTGTTAAATATCCTCCATACGATATGTTAGCATACTGACGCAGAGTGACACAGAGTGACGCAGAGTGACGCAGAGTGACGTAGAGTGACACAGAGTGACGCAGAGTGACGCAGAGTGACGCAGAGTGACGCAGAGTGACACAGAGTGACGCAGAGTG